AAGCAAATATTTGCCTCAATGTACTATATTTTCATATTTTCAAAARATTGTATTATTTAAGTGTAAATGATATAACAATATATATATATATATATAGTATTAAAATTATATAATGCAACTTAATATTAATACAATAATTATAACAATTGTTRTATGAATATTATTTTTACAAATATTTGTCATAAAATTAATTCAAGTGTTAAAACTTTTTTTAATTAATTATAAAATTCTTGACATATTTTATTGTAAGTTTGTTCAATAATTTATGATATTTCTTAMATTATTTTGTTTTCTTTTTTAATTCAAACTAMAATTACTAAATATCTTAACTCATATTTTCTTTAATAATGTTAATATAATARAATATATAATATTTTCTATTTAAGTTTCTATTACTTTATAGTTAGCAATAAAATAATTGTTTATTTTAGTAAATTTTTTATTAATAATTTTAATATTTAAATATATTTAAATRAAATTTTATTTATTGAATTTATTTTTAATACAATGAYTTATGTTTTAGCAAATTTAGGATTTTAATCGTATATAAGAACAAGTGTCTTATGTCTAATATTAATGATTAGCCGCTTTATAAATAWAAGTAAAGTATTTTTAGTCACTTAATATTATATTTATAGATTATTTATATTTATTGTCGTAAATAACTGTCTCCCAGTTTGGCACTAATAATAAATATTTTGGCGAATTATATCGCAAACCAAATGATTTAATATTTAGAACCTTTTAGTTAATATTATTTTCGTTGACTAAATAGTTGTCTGAATAAATGCAGACATTTTATACATAGTCTGTATTTTAATTGATTTTGTTATAATGTGTAATGTATTTACCAAAAAAAAACTTTTATTGCAAAACATTCACTTGTTATACAATAAAAGTTAATTTGATTATAAGATAAATTAAATGAATTGATTTTATCTTATTTTATGAACCGAACGAATATTCAAATKTTTWAATTTAAATGCAATTTATTATTGTATAAAATGAATTGTCATTTTTTACAATTAATTTTTATGTKTAATTTTAAAATAATGCAATTTTATGTAATTATAATTTTAAAAATRTATTMCATAATTTTTGTTTAAATAYATATTATATATAATTATAAATTTATTTAAATTACGCTAAAATTATTTTTTAAATATTGAGATATGTTTAGTGTTGCAAAAAAGAGAAATTTATAAAATAATAGAGAAATTTCTAGAAAGTTTCTAAAAGAAATTTCTATCTATGGGATCTCGATATTGCTATCATATAACAATACATTACCGTAAATATAATTATTAGTATTTTAATTATTAATTAAAGTAAAAAATTAATTAATTAAACTACAGTATGATATATATAATAAAATAATGAATACAATTTTACAAAATTAATTATTATTAAATAATTATAATTATTTTATATATAGGTATTACATTTGTATAGTACTATACTATACTGTATAGTATAATATTATATCTACAGTATAATATTACAATAACTATAGAAATGGGGATCCCATAATATAATAATAAAGTTAAATTTCTATAGAAATTTATTACTGAGAAATTTTCTAGAAACTTTCTATTTGCCCATCTCTAGATATGTTATAAATTCTATATTAAAAAACTTATTATCGATTSAATTTAATTTTGGATTGAATTACTTTCAGTTACTATAATATATAGTATATTTAAGTYGAAAATTATACGAAATTTCACGACTCATTCATTAATTTATTGCAAATTTTTTGTTTTTATTTCGGKTTTTAAGTCTTTTTATTGTAAAATTGCTGCTCAGAGAGTGTGTGCACTAGTGATAGACATATGCAGTATTGTATAACTAATAACATACAGTGTATGATATAAATTATGTGATATAATATTGTCGATCGACATTACAATGGCTAATGATACACAATTTAGGCTATAATGATAAACCCATTATTATTAGAAAAATCATTTAAAATGCTTATTAAATACTGGATATATTTTTACTACTAGTAAAATACAGTATATTCAATTCATTTATTATGYGATATAATAAGTATGCAAATAAATTGAAATTTAGTYTATAATATAATTTCCAAGAATATTAATGATAGTACAATAAAACAATTTATAATAAAATTGTAAAATAAAATATCATAAAAAATTGTGTTTTTTAAATCACGTTTTATTATTGMAGTTATAAAAAAATTATARCAYTTTTTATTTAGATTGAACGTAATTTACAAAATTGTTATGAAATRTACAATTGGTTTTAGTTTTAGMGCCACAAAAAATAGTGGACATTGGTTTTGATAACTCTTATACATAATGTTTTATAATACTATTAGAGGAAATGTTTTCTTTGAAAATAGAGATATACTATAAAAATAGAGAGACGTTTCACAGTYATTACAAACGCAAAGTATGTGATAAATCAGTAGTGAATATATAGAAGTAATGCACAACTTATAAGTATTACTACAGTATATGTCTGATATAATATATGATACATTATATGATATATATAGTAATATATATAAATATATATAAGTCATACACAGAATTTATTTGATGAAAAAATGCTTTAAATAATCTCTTGAGTCAGTCATGGCTTCAWWTCATACAATTATTTCTCTTTTAGTTGAATTCAATGAGAGAGAGAGAGAGTTGTGTCTGAATTGTATATAAATTTCGTTATATCTATTATGTAATACTAGWGTATACTGTATGTTGTATTACGAATTAAAGATAATAATAATAATAATAATAATAAAGAAAAAGTGTTTGTTGTATGTATTCATAGGCATTACTATTAATACGATTATATCACAGAATTTTCGTCRCTAATGTAAACTCAGAAAATAATAAATCATTTTTTGTTTGTTTGTTACTCATTATGCTTTTCAAAATTATACTATTATACAGTATTAATATATATATATATATATATATATACATATAGCAGACAACTTTGCATAATGTATTTCAAAAATAGCTGTCTTCATTTAACACATGTATTTATATTATTTGATTATATMGTTTGATAAATTTAGTTTTATACCAAAATATTTTTAAAAATGTAAAATTATAATCAAATTAGTTTGCTTTTAAATTTTATGTTCTTAAGGCTATAAAATATTTTCATTAATGTAGTGAACATTTGAAATACAAATCTCAAGCTTAATGAGAAAATCTTTAAATGTGTTCAGTGTTATTGCAATTTAATGATTATTACACTTGTTTTATATGATTTTACTATTGAGTTGTATTGTTTACGTTGTGTTRTATAGTGTTTAATCTTACATAWAATTTAAATAAATTATTTGAATRTTTTTTGKACTGATGTTTACTCTAACAAATTATTACAATAAYCATTTAATTTATAAAATTTTATGTTAGATAATAATAAYACCAGTAGTCAAAAAATTAATACAATTAGAAATATTTAAATAAAATTTTTTGGTTATAAAACAGCTAAACTTCTGACAYTTTTTTAATATTTAAAATATATAATTAATAATTATATACAGTTTAAAGATTAATATWAYATTAAGTTATATTCCGTTTAMTAATTAACAAATAAAATCATTAACATTAATTTTTTTAAATAGAAAATTTATTTCATTTTAGTTATTTTTTAACCATTATTATCTTTATCCAATATTTGTTATTTAAAAAATAACATTGCCATACTTGCATAAAAACATAATAAATAACACTTTTATGTTTGTCATTATAAATAAATAATATTTTAATAAATTTTGAGAATTTTTTTKAATAATAAATATTTACGCAAAACATACAAATAAAAATAAATATTTGATGCAAAATATAACTTTTAATTATGTGACCCATATATATATAATTCAAGTAAATTTTATTTTCATATTTGKATATATRKATATATATACGAATCATTTAGAAAAAYTGTATTAATGTTTTGGTTTCCATGAACTCATTTATATGCAAATTTATATTATATAAAATATAAGTTACTATTTTGAGTACATACATACAAAAAAACACTAATTATCCATTAATATTTAGTATATCCAATGATTAATTTCTATATTTTTTATTTTTCACAAAATCATTTACCAATAATAGATTATTGAGTATATATATCAGTAATTAACTTTATAAATAGGAATTTTTTAGCTATTATTATAATTTATGAAAAGTATCATGATAAAAGTAATCACACACATAGACTAGTACAAATTAAATAAATATTTTATCTAAGTCATAGTTTAGTTATTATTTATTTGTAATGTATTTTTAAAAACTTTTAAACTAAATAAAAAATAATTATGTTATCTATGAATAATTATTTTATTTATTATAATTTTGAACATCAAAATATACATTTATCAAAAAAGTTATTTACTTAAAGTTAATAGCTGATATATATAGTCTATATTCATATAAAAGAATATCAATTCTATGTTTATTYTTGAATTTTGTTATTAAACTAATGCCTTGAAAAATATACATTTTTTATATTCTATAACTWACCGTATTTTWAAAAARTACTATAATATATGAAAATATCAACTAAATAAATATTGACATAAACATAGAAATATGTTTGGATTTTGGGTTAACAGTTAATCATAATATCATAATATGATACTACATGTATATTGATATATAGCAACACTGTCTACACTACAATATGATTGTATTAATATTTCAATAATTTATTTGCCATTTTTAATGCATAGATGATTATCTTTACATTAACTATATAGGAAATCATTAATAAATTCATTAGAGTAATATGTTTAATAATAAACATTATTGTCRTTTTAATAGTCAATTATATTGCATAATACTGTATTTACATATATAACAAACATTTTTTATATTGGTAATTTGTATTAAAATTAAAATTTAATTAAAATTTTGGTGACAATATTTATTAGTGATAATAAGATTATGATCTAAGGATGTGATGATTGCAAGACATGCCTTATTCACGAATAGTTGTCTGATTTGTTACAGAAACAGTCGGCACTCATCAGACAACTGGAAGAAGAGTTAAGGATAACACATATGCGTAATCCGGACGCCGACGTCCAGCAACATATCGATGCTCTTTACTCAGAGAAGGAGCACATGTCTAAAGAAGTATATCTATTGAGGGAAACCATTAAAGTAAGTCATTTACTTGACTACTATATACTAAACATTTTGAATCTATTGTTTTCTTAATCACTTTATACAGTATATGATTTAAGTAATAGTCTTATTATCGATTTTGGTGTTTGATTTTTTAAACAATAACTTCTTTAATGATTTTTTAATGTTTTGGTTTTTTATTCATCAAAGGAATTGGAGCTCAGATTAGAGACTCAAAAGCAAACGTTAGCGGCMAGGGATGAGAGCATCAAAAAGTTGATGGAAATGATGCAAAACAAGGGAATCGGTGGYAAAATTATGGAAGAAGAGAGAATGGAATACGAAAGGATTAGATCCAGAAATATTGAACTCGAGACCAGACTTAGACATATCGAACATATCCTCGAAGCCAAAGAAAAGGAAGTCTTAAGGGTAGGCGTTCCCCACAGAATCATACAATTATAAACTAATTATAATAAATATWTACTTAACATATTTAATATTAAATTGCTTGCAAACAAAAATAATTTTACATTATATTGAAATATATATTTTTATTTGTTTTAAAATTATTTTGTTTGATAACAAAAAAAAGATTAACGAATCGAAAGACGAACAAATTTATTATCATTTAATGGGAATCAATGAATTAAGTAATGTTGATAATCATAATCATAAAAATTATGATAATTATAAATTAATAACAAATGTTGTCAATAATGACGATGAAAACGAACCACAAATGTTAAGAGCTATGGTTGAGATAAAGGTATGCAAAAACATATTTAAATTTTCTAATGGATGACACCATTAAACTGAATAAATTTAATAATTCATTATAAAAACAATAATTTCCATCACATAAATTTGTTTACTCTTATATGTAAACAGTATTCATGAATTTCTTTAATACAATATAACATTATGTGATAAGAGATAATATCAAGAATTTAATGCAATCTCATGAATGACTTTTTTTATTGAAAAAAGTGTTTAACAATAGATATATAGAATAAAGCATTTAATTCACACGAATTATCTTTCAATTATCCATTAATTTTAAACCCATTTCTTTTATTTCCTCTAATTGAACTTTAAGTGCATATTTAAACTATATATATAATTTAAACTATATATTATACAATAAATTATACGGTGTTTGTAATCAATGTCTCGTACAATATTCACTTTATTTATTTACTAAATTAAAAAACAACTATTATATAATATTTGAATGTTATTACAGCACTGTTTGTTGCTTTTTAATTGTTTTATTGCTATCCACTGTAATACTGGTATAATTAAGTTTATATTATTTTTATCCATATTATAAATTTGTTTATTTCATTTACTTTAATTCAATATAATAGTACTATAATTACTCATTATTTTCATATTTTATTTCTTTTTTAAAAGTATTTAGTGAACYAATAAATTTATTGTTTTCTTTAGTTACATCATAAGATTTTATTATTTATAATTAATATGATTTGTTTGAATAATTATAAAAAGTTTTAAAAAAATATTTTTTATTTATTATGATTAATGTCTAAACACTAATTAAAAGGATTCGCGTATCAAAAGTCTTGAACAGGAACTGGARCTCTTTGAGTGGGAATTTCAACGATTGAGAGACAATACCATTAAATCATATAAAATTATTGATAGTAATAATAGTAGTAAAATTAAATGTAATGATAGTGTGATTGGCGTCGACATCAGTGACAGCTACAACTGTACTAATAACGGAGCAAATAATAATAATAATAATAATAAAATAATAATAATAATAATAATAATAAATAATAAAGACAATAATAATAGGTCTAAAATAATAGAGCCTAAAATAGTTTATATATATATATATATAAATGTAAAAGTGTTTCTGATATTAACGACAGACTTTGCGATTCACAATCAGTCACCCATTTGTCAGTAACTTCTGGCAGATGTGTTGTAACAGACACTGAGAAAGAGGTTTGTTATTATTGTCTTTAAAAATGTCACATCAATTGACTGTAAAATTTAAACTATTTCTACGATCTCAAGATATATCTGTATATTCAACAAATTCTTTGACTAATTATTGACAAATTATCATTTCTGTACAACAAATCTTAATAATAATAATAAAATTACAATTAAAATACTAATCATTTTTATCTGACATATCTTGTAAACTGTCTTTCGATTCGCTTCAACTAAACTTTGCATTTATTTATAACACAATCTTTTATATTTCATTTATATTATTTGATATACAAATGATATAATTATTATTTTATATAAAAAATATTCTTATATTACTTATTAGTATTATTATATATTAATAATAATGACATTTAGCACTATTACTATTCTATATTATTAGTCTATTTGATTTAAGACTTTTTTGAATAACACAATTTTATACTAAATTCAAATTTTAATATTACAGTATATTTGATATTTAATATAATAAATAGATTAGTTAGACTAATCAACTTTTTTTAGTAAAAACATAATTTTAAAGGTTAAAAATATTAATTATAAAAAATAATCTAATAATTCATATCTTTTATTTTGTATCAATTTYTGTGTGTTATGTTATAATCAATCAGATGGAAGAGCTGAAGATTGAGCTCAACAAACGTGATCAGGAAATACTGGCAGTGGGCGCCAAAATGAAGACTCTGGAGGAACAGCATCAGGACTATCAAAGACATATAGCTGTACTCAAAGAATCTTTGTGTGCCAAAGAAGAACATTATAATATGCTTCAGGCAGATGTATGTCTGGTTTGTTTGTCTCCGCTAAGTACCACTCATAATACTTAACTCACTTACCCATACCCATACCCATACCCATACCCATACCCATACCCATACCCATACCCATACCCATACCCATACCCATACCCATACCCATACCCATACCCATACCCATACCCATACCCATATACCCATATACCCATACCCATACCCATACCCATACCCATACATACCCATATTATACCATACTATAGCATACCATTACATATCTCGCTCACACTCTTTAACTCACTTTCGCATTCATTTTATTGATTTATAAATCATATATAAGAGTATTTAGTTGTTGTGTTGACCCACTATTTGAGTTCAATGGATTCACATTACATTGCCATAAATTTTTACAATCATGTTATATATTATACAGTATATAAATTAATTTATATAAATGTGATATTAATATATGATGCACACTATGTATTGCAATCTAATAATTACATACAGAATATTCTGTAGTATATAAATAGCATTACAATATATACACATATATTATTGTTTTTAAATATCTTTTTTAATATCATTTATTGGCATAAATAAAAGCATCTATTATTATGTCTAACTATGAATACAGTAAACAATAAATCTTTTTTTGTTGCTTTTTATTGTTGTCTTTAATTTAATATTAATACTGTATTATAAATTTTGAAAAGAGATTGTCTGAATATTAACTGTAATAAACTGGGACAATTAGTCTAATCTAGAAAAAGTACAAAATTGAATTTTATGATAAATAAACAAATATAATTAATATATATACAGTATATATAATACATTTTAGTGTCTTGTTTTCATCAATAAATTGTTTTAAAAATTTTTTGTAATATAACTAAATAAAAAGATTTTAWAAAAATTATTATATAGAAACTAAATCAATATTAAATACTGACATAAATATAGTAGACATAATTYATATTTTAAATGTTATTTTTAGTATATAAAATCTTATATTTAAAAAACTTATAAAAAAAAATCATAAAACCAAACATTYAATTTWRACAAAAATTTGCGTCAATGTGTTTTTTAAATGATTGATTTTCAGAAATTGATATTACTGTATATCTATAATATTACTGTATATCTATTTATATATAGATATAACTTAAGATATTATTTACTATCACTAGATATTTAGTGACAAATTGCTTCCATATATTATAATATTACTGTAATATTATTGTATGTTTTGAGCCAAAATTATATAAACCATTTATAGTAATGGCTTAATACAATATTTATCAAAAATAATTTGTGATACAAAATTTATAAAATATTGAAAATGCTTATAGTTTGCCATTAAAWAAATAAATATAAGATATATAATATAAAGAATGAATGACTTTAATAACTATTTTCACTTTATTTTTCAAATAGTATTTCAAAGCAATTTAGTAAACAAAAATAAATTGGAMWATAAATTAATTATTTGTTTTTATTTGTCATTTTTAATGACTTATATGGACACTGTGTGGGCACAGGTGGAGGAGTTGAGGTCACGGTTGGAGGAGAAGAATAAAATGATTGAAAAGAAGACACAACAGACAATGGCCACCACTCAAGACAGGAATAAATTGACTCAAGAATTACAAGAACTTAGGGATCACGTAGACATCAAAGACAGAAAAATAAATGTTTTACAACGAAAAGTATGGAAAATAACATATACTTTATAAATACCAATTACTTTGCCTCAAAACATTGCATTTTATTATCAATAGGTCAATAAAACTTATATACAGTGTATACCATTAGCACTATTACTTGTATACTAAATAATATTTTAATGATAATATAAGGCATTCACTAAACTAGACTTATTTAGCACTCAATATATTATATACAGTAAAATATATTAATATATTGTCTATTATTCTCATCACATGTTTAGTGCATTCAATAAAAATCAAATCAATTTTAGTTTATAGTTTCCATTCAACTCACAACACAATTCTTGCAGTCAAACAATTTCATGTATTTTATTATTACAGCATATATTAGTCGACAAAATATCTCTCTTTCTAACACTAACACACACTCACACTATACGCCCATTTTTGCAAATCTATTATCTTTTTTAATTTAATTATTATTTTGGATTTTCTTTAGCCCTTTCTGGCATAGATTAAACACACAGTTATATAGTGAGTGTTAAACTGTACTCCAATATATCCAAACATATATTGAATTATTAAATATAGAAACAAATAAGTTATTTTTATAAATGGTTTCCTTCTTTAATATATATTTTATGTTTTTTAACACAAATCTAAATGATTAATGAATATCAAGTAAACATAACATTCATATAATACTATAGGAGAACTCATTTTTAGATAAATAATGGTTCACATATTATAAACTTGTTATTAATATATAAATATACAGTACTACAGGACAACTGATAAAACCATTATATCAAAACTACTATAAGATATTTAGTGTACATTTGAATTTTACATTAAGTGTATCGGAAATTAATCAATAATAGTGTAACAACTTTTGAGGCAAATTTGCAAATATTTTAAGATTAATTTTAATGCAATACACTATTAAGATATCTATTAATAATGAAGTGGTCTTTATTATTGTGGTCTAACTTCAAAAAACAATTGTATARTTTTTGTAAAATTAAAACATTTTAAATTATTGATTTGCTAAAAAATGGTGTTAAATTTAGTAACATTTTATAAATCACTTAAAATGAATTTAGAACTTAAAAAACAATCGGAATATTTGCACAGAATATTCTTTGTAATAATAATATTATTATTATTTAATTTTTTGTAATTAATTTTGTTATTAATTTTTAAACATTATTAGATTGAAAACCTTGAGGACCTTCTTAAAGAAAAGGACAATCAGGTAGACATGGCTCGGACCAGACTCACTGCAATGCAGGCCCACCACTCAACCTCCGAGGGCGCCCTTACGAGTCTAGAGGATGCTATTAGTGATAAAGACAAACAAATTGCACAATTGAAGGAACAGAGAGATCGAGCKGAACATGAGTTACACGAGGAACGGGAGATTCACGATAGACAGATAGCTGAATATAAAATGAAATTACATTCAATCGAAAATGATATGGAAAAACTTCAGGTCAGAAATCATATAACTTTTATTTTAATATATTTATTAAAACATCGCTAACCTTATGTTTAAAATTTTGGAGTCTTTTATAAAATTTGTATTTAACTAATATATTAACCAATTTTATTTGTTTTTTCTACATTTGAGCGATGATTTTAATTAATTTAAATTATCGATTTATTCTAACATTTTCATTGATTTCACAAATTATATATTAATGACTTTTTCATTGAGTAATACAAACATTATTGAATACTTTTATCAACTTTTATATTGATTACCGGATAGGAARTGATAATAATAAGTGGTTTCACTAGTTTTGGTTAAAACATTTGGTGTTTTATGTCTTAGATTTTGTTTTTATTTGTTTGTTTCATATATCAAATTGATTGTCCATTTCTTGTGTTACAATTTATGATGAGTTATCTATTTGTTATGATTTGATTGTCAATAAACATATTGGACTTGAAGTAGACGATAGAAACTTTGAAAATAATAATAATAATCGATTGAACCGATTATACTGTACTAAAAATTATAGGTAAGACTTGAGAAGTTGATGTCTGAGAAGGACAGAGTTGAGGCCAAACTCGAGAACTCACAGTCAGAGTTAGGCAAAGCTAGGGCTGAGTTAGAGAAACTACAGTCAGAAACGTGGAGACAACAGAGCGAATGGGATCGACTTAAGTCTGAAAATGCCAGATATATACTGGAAAATGATAGACTTAGGGAACAAATTGACAGACCAACAAAAAGTGGCAGAGATTCGGCCGGAGGTTATCGGGATAGAGATAGAGATCGTGACCGAGACTATGACTTTCGAGATCCCATATCATCGTTGAGTAAATCAGAGCGATTGTTATCCAAATCAGAAGAAACAGAACGACTGCAAGAAAAACTCGAGAAGACTCAACAAGACTTGAGAAGAGCTCAGGCAGAGCTTAGGATGAATCAGTCTGAACACGACAGGGCCAGGACTGAGATGGAACAACTCCAAGAAAAGGTCGAAAGATCTCAGGGAGAGATATACAGACTCAAAGCCAAACTCGAAAATGCATTGTCTGAAAGAGAGAGTCTGTCTGAAGAATACGACAGAATTCAGTCTCAAATTACTAGATCTCAGATTGAAAAAGACAACGCTTTAGCCGATGCAGAAAAGTCCAGACAAGACTTGGATCGACTWCAGGTCACACTATCTAAGACTCAAACTCAATACGAAAAGACACAATCAGTTCTCGACAAGACTCAGATAGAATGCGAGCATTTGCAGGAAAAGTATGACAAAATGTGTTCAGAAATGCGTCGATTACAGGCAGAGAAGGAACGGGCCATCAGTGATGTGGAGCACTATCAGACACAACTCAAAGAAATACAAAATCAATATCAGAAGATTCAAAACGAAAGAGAATTAACACTTTTAGACGTCGAAAAAATGAAAGAAAAGATGGAAAGAAGTCAAAACCAAATGAGTCGATACCAGAAGGATAGGGACTCAGCCATACATGAGACCGAAGTCATCAAAGAAAGAGTTGATCTCTTGCAGACGCAACTATCGAAAGCTAACAAAGATAAAGAGGCTCTTCAGGATGACCTACAGGTGATGCGAGAACGAGCAGATAAGGCACAGAAAATGGCTGACAAATGTCAGAATGCTATCGAACAAAAAGACCAAGAAATCAGATGTGTTAGAGAACAGATGGAAAAAATACAGATTCACTTCCAGAAGACACAAGAAGATAAAGAGATTAATAGAGCTGAACACGACTTGCTTATGGAAAAATTAGACAGAGCTCAGGCAGAAGTGGTTAAACTTCAAGCAAAACTGGATCAAAGCCAGACTGAAGCTGAAAGATTGCATATTGATCTGGAAAAGGCTCAGTCTATTGCTTCCAAAGCAAAAGAGGACAAAAAGAGAGCTCAGGACGAATTTGAAGGTCTTCAGGATATATATGCGCGAACTAACTCACAACTCATCAAAAGTAAAGACTCGGAAGAGAAACTCAGGACTGAACTCGAAAAATCATTAATGGATTTGGAAGTCTTGAAAGAAAAATACGARAAAACACAACAAGATATGCGAAGAGTTCAACAGGAAAAGGATAAACTGCAGACCGACGCCGATCGGGTAACAGTTGAGTTGGATCGCGTCCAAAGTCAACGTCAATCTACACACAGTAGGGATGAAAAGACACAGGAAGAGATCCAAAGACTACATATTGAGTTGGAACAGATGTACGCCAAGATTGAGAGGGCTCAGGCAGAGTATCGCAAATGTCAGACCGAAAAGGAAAGACTTGCAGTCGATAAGGAGTCACTTCAGGCAGAACTCGATAGGTATAAGATTCAGATGAATAAGTTTGAATCAAATCAAGAGAAGACACAATTGGAATTTGAAAGACTTCGCATTGATTTAGAAAAAATTAAAGATAAATACGAAAAGGCAAGAATCGATTTGGAAAGAAGTAATGCAGACAAAGAAAGACTCTTTGTTGAGGTCCAGAAAACTCAGTCTGAATTAGAAAGATTCAAATCTGATAAGAGTTCGACACAACAAAGAGAGTCGGCAGCCATCGAGATAGAGAAGCTCTACAATGAGGTCGAAAAGATACGCGAAAAATATGAAACGGCCAGAAGTGAAATGAGTCGACTTCAACAACTTAAACAACAACAAGAACTCGATATCGAAGTTCTTCAAAGAGAATTGGATTCTTCAAAGGCTAAGATTGAAAAAAATAAGGCTTCAGAAGAAAAACAGAAATATGAGATCGAAAAAGCAATGATTGAGTTCGAAAAAATCAGAGATAAGATGGAGAGAAACCAAAATGAATTAAGTAAAGCCCAGAAGGAAAGGGATKCATTGGCCGTAGAGGTCAAACAGTTGCAGACAGCGCTCAATCAAACTAAAGCTCAACTCGAGGTTGCATTTAAAAACCAATCACAACAACCATCAGCACAACAACAACAACARCAACAACCAAATGGAGACCAAATACAGAAGTATACGACAGAAATCAATAGAATTAAACAATTGTTGACAAAGTCTGAAACGGATCTCCAGAAGAAGCTTTCAGAAAACCAGAGATTGCAGATGGAAGTGGAAAGTCTTAAACAAGATGTGGTCAATTCCAACGCATATATCTCTAAAATACAATCGGGAGAAACGGGTAGTAAAGTAGAGACTGATAGGATGGTCGCCGAAATTAAAAAATTAGAGCAACTCATAGACCAAACACAGATTGAATTGAAGAAAGTGATGAAAGAGAGAGATCAGTTACAAATACAGGTCCAAGAATTGGCTACTGCTTATGAATCGCATCGTAAATCCGGAGAAATGCAGCGCCGGTCGAGTGCTGAGTCACAGCAACAGATACTCGCACTTCAATCAGATCTTCAGAAAATGGATCAACAATTAAGAAAAACTGAGACTGAAAACAAAGAGTTGAAACAAAAACTGGAGAAGTCTTTGCAAGCGATCGCACAGTTTCAGAAACAATTGGAAAGTGGAAGCAAAGAATTTCAGAAAATGGGTGATGAAAATAGACAACTTAAGACACAAGTTCAACAACAACTTCAACAACAACAACAGTTGACACAACAGTTGACACAAAAGGCTGGAATTGATAATTCAAAGATAGTTGAAGAAGTAAACAAAATAAGAGGTGAATTGGAGAGACAGAGATCTGAGACACAGAAATGGATGCAAGAGTCGGAACAATTGAGAAAACAATTAGAAAGAGCACAACAAGATATCAAAGGACTTACTGCCGAAAGAGATCGCTTCCAGAGTCAGCTCGAAAAGTTGGTCAATGAATTGACTCAAAAGGAGGTTATCTCACATTATATTCAWTATTTGAAAGTTTTTTTATCATTTAGTATTTGATTCATTCATTTTTTATTTGAAATTTTCAATTGTTTGATATAATTTGAAATAATTATTACAATTTTTCTTATTTGAATTTACGTTTCGTTGGGTATTTAATTATTTATTTGTCATAATTGRTCCCTATTATAAACTATAGCAAAATACCTTGATTATTTTAATTATGTTTATTAATTGAAYTGTATATTATGTTGATTTATGTTAAAATTTATGTTATGGTTTTAAAAACATTAATTTAATATTTATATTAATAAGTAAGTATATTGTTTTTATAATTATTGTTTGATTGTARTTTTGGTCACTAAACGAATCAATGTTTTGTTTGTTTTATTTTATTTGTTTTATTATTACAACATTTTCCACAAGACCTTTGAATGTGTTTTATAATATATGATACTTTATTTACACATTATTTGATATCTTTTATATCACACATTTTTGCACAGAATATTTTGACCTATGTTTCTATGTTTTTGACAAATATATTGATTGTTGTTTTAAATGATAGCATGACTTACAGTCAGCCAAACAGCAATTATCAAAAGGCATTCAACAGCAAACACAGCAAACGACTCAACAAAACGCTGAATTGCAGACTTTGCGCAAACAATTGGATGAAAGAGCCAAAGCATTGGATGAGACCGAGAAGTTGCTGAAGAAGCGCCAGCAGGACATCGACCAAATGGAGGTTCAGCTCATGAATGCACTCAAACAGGCGTCGAGTGCGGCGCCCGCGGCGGCCGGTAATGAGGCGCTCGTCAATGACTTACGCAAAAAGTGTGAGGCATTGGAAAAGGATAAGCAAAAGATAATGCAAGACATGAAAAAAACCAAAGACGAGTCTAATAGCATTCAATCAGAATTAGAGAGACTGTTGAAGATTATGTCGACCTCTGAGGAAGAGAAGTTCGCCTTAAATAAGCAAATTCAAGAAATGCAAAAGTGATTATCATTTTTTTTATAATATAAAACAACTTATTTTATATATTTTATTATATGAATAGCGCTCTTAGAGCTGCACAAAGTAGTGGTTCCCGAAGGAATACTCAAAGTGCCCAACAGCTAGAGGAGGCCAGACCTCAGGCCAGACCCCCGTCAGCGACTGGTGCACCACCCGGTCCAACACAACAGGGGCCACAACAGAGACAACAACARCAGCAGCAGCAGCAACAACAACAACAGGTATATYTTAATCATTTAATCATTTTATTTAAATATCAATTTAGATATTTTATGGTAGTTTAATGTACCGTTATATTTATAAATTTCATTTACATTCAAATGCTATTTTAAAAATTAATATGAGATTTGCAYTCTAAATATAAGCATTTAATATTAATATTATTTTATTTAACTATTATATGATATAAAGCTATAATTTTYATTTAAAGCAATTGTCRTATATTTTAAAAAATTATTTGAATCTCTAGATAATTGAAAATAATTTTTCATTTCATTAATAGCTTTTAAGTTTACTTACAAAATATAGATATCATTATCTTAAATGCATTTTAACTCAAAATACATGTCTTACTTAGCATTAAATATTTATCTCGTTTAAGACAAATACACTATATATTTATACTCATAAAAGAAAACACAAAACAGATAAATATTATATAAAGACTATACTATAAAAGCTTAGTTATGTCGTTATGTAAGCTAACAGTGTTAAAAACAACAAAGAAATTATTTATATGACTTTTATTATKCATTTTTCAAAATATATTATATAAGCATTTTCTACTCAAACAGTGTTTGTCTTTGCAATAATAGCCTTATTTAGTAATAATAATAAATTTGAATACATATTTATATACACTGTATTTTTTGCTGATTATATTCAATGGTTAGTCTAATAGTTATTATAAATGATTTTATTAAATAATCCGTATTTCCTTAATATAAAATTTATAATTATTTAATATTAAATCTTTATTTATGTGTCATATTTATTGTTAGAATATTTATTTGAATAATTATTTAATTACTAACTTTAAATATATGAATTGCTACTGTTTATTTTTGTATAAAAAATAATTGGTTGGTTTAATTAGTGAATTATTTATTTTATATATATTATTTAAAACTAATTAATWATACACTAAGAATTTTCAGCAAATAAATAAAATTATAATTTAATTCGCTAAATTGTAAATGTAAAAATAGACAAAATTATAAATATTTAATTTTATCTAAAATAATAGCTATTATCTAATMTTTTAATATTATCTAATAATAATATTATATTGCTAAAAACAGWATGTTAGACAGTGCTATGYTTAAGTAAATTATATATAATATAAATTTATATATCAATAATAAAATGTAATTTTGTCACAATTGGCAATTTTGGCWATTTTGACCATTAATCCAATTCCTGAAGTACGACACATTAATAATTTATAAACAGATAAATATCATTACTTAAAATCAATAGACCAAAGRATAAATAATATATAATAGTATTAATCGATATATAGGGTAATCAGGGGTCAGCAAAATCATATCTCTGAAGCCAATTATTGTATACTTTATATGAATAGATATGAATTTGATTTTTCGGATCAATTCATTAAATAAGACAATCCTAACGTTTCAGTATATAATATATACTATATATTATATAATGAATTTTACGTGTTTAGTATACTGTATTAAAGCTTAACTGTTTATGTAATACTGGATAATACACATAAAATAGTCAACAATCACATAAAATGATGTGTTATKTGGAGTGGACTACAGATCCTATYGGTTCGGTTTAACCCTAAAAATCTGATCCGAAAACGGTTTTGTAATTTTGGTTTTACTAAGAGGTTATAATTCTGTTTAAAAAATTAGTATAAATTCCATTAGAATTATTAATTATTTTAATTAATATGTTTGGTTTGGATGAGAAAATATATGTTACTTTTTCTAWCTMTAAATGTGTTAWATTGTATTAGACTTATTTGTATAAMATTTTATTTAAATTATTCATTAATTAAATTAGTTTTTATTKTGATAATTATATTATTAACTTAATCAGATAATTGARTTGCATAATATTTTTTCTAATATACTTATACTGTATGTTGTGTTGTATWTATTGTATAATATTATATATATATATATTATTTTACTATATCTYTAATAGTAATAATAAATTTGTTTCTTTTAAACTAATAAACTATTTCTTATTTTTCTTCCTTTRCCTACCTTTCTATTGGTTAACGCATTACTTAATCTMTATTTCATTTTAAAACATCACTAATAATAATAACTACTCTAATAATTGACTGGAAATATAYGAACATTGACTAACATTTACATAACTTTAACATCGATCTTAACTTCAATTCATTATCAAATAACATAACAACAACTACAACAAACATAAAACAACTTTTTCTTGTATTCAATGTCTAATGTCAACTAACTGTCTGCATGTTATCTACTGTCACCAAACGGACTGACCCGACACATACACATACATTATGTATATAAACAACTATAGCCTTCCGGTCCCTCGAGTTTCTTCTCTAGCTTCTTCTAACTGCCATTTTTATCATTAATTGCATTAAATAACTCTTACATATTWAAAAAAAACTAAACATATTCATCGACAACAATAATAATATTGTCAATAAAACACCAAAACTTTCCTCATTTTTTATTAAAAAATAAATTACTAATCAAATAATGTTTTACGTGCGATGATGTCATGTTTGTAATATTATACATATTATACAAAAAAATTAAATAAATAAAACAAAATTTTATTTGTTTTGTATTTAAAAAATAAATTACATTATATGTAATACAATGAACACAATATAAGAATATTGAAATACAGAAATATTTGTTATTTAGTATTTGCTAAGTTTGTTATTATTTATATACAAATTATGGATTATTTATATTTAATATATATATATTACAGAATTTTTTGTTGATAATTGCTTAAAAAAATTAAAATTTATGTATCGAGAAATTGTAATTTGTATATGAAATTGTCGTTTTTTGAATACAATATACACACAAATTTGTGAATATTAAACATATGATTATAAAAATTATAAGTTATATACATAAATATACACGTTATATAAATATACTGTACTAATTGGCAATAGTTTTGAGGAAAAGTTAATATCAAGTAAACGTTTATTTGTTTTATTTATTAAATTTATTAAAAAATATTATTTGTTGGCATAATATTTGCTCTGAACTATCTTTACAATTATGTGATCGCATATTTATTATGATTATTGTTTATATTAAAATTGAAAAATAGTTTGTTATAATTAATGTTTGTGTTGAATACACACTTTCGGTATATATATACACACTTGGAAAACCAGGGATTTATAAGTTATATATATATTTATTAGTTAATAATTTTTAAATTATAAAAATATATTAATTGAAATAAATAAATTAAAATCTATATGACTAATAAAGCTTATTTAACAACTAAAAATAATAACTAAAATAAGAATAACAACAAATTAATTAATTAAAATAAATGATAAATTTTAAATTTCTTGTTTAATTTATTATTTAATTAACAATATTTTGTGTATMTTAAAATACTATTATACTTATTATAATTAAGATCTTTCAAGCAAAATAATTAAGGTATTTTTTWATTATATATATATATATAATYTAATATATTTTTCCAATTATTAAATTTTTATTTGGTATTTAAATTAATAATTTATTATTATTTTTTGTTGTTTCTATGATTTGGCACACAATTATCTATTATCGATTATTTGGAAATTTGACGACTATTTTTATGTTACYTCATTATCACTGTACTATATGTGTATATTTTGTTTATTATGTTGTTTTATTTTACTATAATTGTATAAATTATATAATTTTGTTTGAGAAGTTTAATAACTATAATAGTAATAATGATAATAAAAAATTGAGACAAATTGAATACCTAAATGAAAGAATCGAAGAACTCGAAGAAGCCCTTAGAGAGAGTGTCCGAATGACCGCCGAAACTGAGTTTGAAATGAAAGATAAGGAAAACTGTCTCCGAAAGGCTGAGGAACAGGTTTGACAAAGTTTTACAACAATTGGTTTATATTTTTTAATTGTTTTTCAATATTCAAGATTGAAAAGTTGATGTCCGATATACGTGCCATGAATAAGGTGTCCAATGCCACGTGTACTAACTGTCCACAACTTAAAGTCAATATGGATTGGTTGGAAACAAAGTTTAAAAAATTATTGATTGAACGTAACAAACAYCTCAACGAAATATTTGATATGAAGTGAAGATTTTAATTTTATACAATTTGTCTCAATATATATATATATATATATTARTTATACTAATTATTATTGTTTTACTTCAAGACTGGAAGGTCTTTCGTCAGCTATTAGTGAAAAAGACGCTCATTTAGGACAACTGGAAATGTGTGGCCTTAGAAATGCTGAAAATGCCAAAGAAGTGGACAGAATAAAAGCGCAAAAGAAATTTCTTATGGATCAACTCAAACAAGAGGTTTTSTAACCATTGATATGATATGTATTTATTTCAKTTGATTTAATTGATATTTCTATTACAGAATGAAAATCGTATCAAACATTTATTYGATACCAAAGAGATCTTAGCGGACATTCAGAAGATATCACACAATAATAGTCATAAATTTTTTAATAAACATAAAATATCACTTTAAGTGCCAATAATATCATTTTCATATAAATCTCATAWTTTTTATTAAACATATCACTTTAATTAATGTATTAGTATAATAAACTTRTATTAATTTATATAATAAAATTATTTTACTTAAATTTAATRTTATTAATTTGTAAATAAAAATWASACATTCAGAATAATTTTAAATCTTAATAATAATAATAATAATTTTATATTATAATGTTAAAAATAATATAYAATWTATTAGAATGTTATACTGTAATGTATAAATTTTGTTTTTATTTATTATATTATATTTACTATTACCRTAAATTYATGTTTTCCMCATATGGAAATAAAAAAAATATGAAAAAACGTTTTCATACTGTAAAAAACTCGCATTTTTTAACCACCCTGGTTAATTAAACGAGTCTGTAGGGAAAAGCAAAATTGGGGAAATAGKRAACTGTAAAACCGATAATTAACAGTATATATTAAAACAGGTATATTTAGTTAACTATTACCGGTWATTAATTAATTATAACASTGTTTAACAATAAATGAAATTTRTATACATTAACAGTATTTTTACATATTATAAATCGGTAAATATATAACATATTCAAAKGGTTTGGAACAATTAGAGACAAGGGGTCCAAATACAAGGGGTGGSAAATTATTATTCAAAGTAAAAACWATTTTTCATAYTTGTACAAAACTCGCATTATACATATTTTAATATGGGGAAAAATACAAGATTTAACGGTAATAGTGTATTACTAGTGTAGTACAGTATATTGTAGTAACACTAACTAAWAATATAATAATCGTATATTACCGGTAAAAGTAATATTTATCAATATTTAGCCATCAATTTATTAGTTATTGTGAAATACTTATTAAAATTGAAATTAACTTYAATTAAATCATTATAATATATTATTACATATTACTGGTAATTATAATATAACTTATTTTATTAAACATAAAGCATATGTCGGTAAGAATAATATGATATACAAAAATCAATATCAAATCGACATATTTTACAATAAAGTTAAATCTTAATCAATYAAACAAAACACAAAATTATATTTATTGTCAATAAATGTTTAAACTATTTTAAAGAATATTTTTAATTATAAAATAATAATATAATATAATAYTATCGATAAATCACTTGTCAATTGCAAACCAAATGTTTGGTTAATAATAATTATATTATTACACAAAAAATCAATGACTTCTGTGAACACAATAATTAAAAAMAATACAAAAAAGTCTTTGACGACAATCACTGATATTCTGTGTATTTCTTTGAGCTTCCGTACACTTTTTCCGTCGGATATTTGGCCGCATTTTTAGCCAACTTTCGGGTGACGGCTGCGGGCAAATCAACGCGACACCTATCGGCCAAACGGACCAAATATACGAGACAATCGCTAAGCTCTTCTTCGAGCGCTATCTTCTCTTTCGGTGTCCAATCTTTGAGACCAATCTGACATTCATTCTTCCATTGAAAACATTCCGATAGTTCGCCCATTTCGGCCACGAGTGCCAACAAGACATTCCTCGGTGTGTGAAACTGTTCCCAATTGCGTTCAGCAATGAATGAGGCGTGTGATTGGCGGACATCTTCAAGAGTCGGACTATTGCTGAAAGTAAACGAGTCTTCAACAGGTGATCGGTCTTTGACTGCATCTGAATGTTTRTCGTCCGACACAACCACCACGTGTTGTCCATTTACACGTATAGTATTGTCATCGATTGCAGTAATCAACGTCTTGTCCATTGTGTGTGTGATGTCTTGGATTAACTTAATTCAAGTCGTCTTTTAATTAAATATATGAATCAATCAAATGAAKMAATCAAATGAAGAAATCAATTGTTTTGCGCGTAAAGTGTGTGCACTCTTGTGGGCCGAACATCAATGACGACACAAATCAACAATCAATTCAAACAATTTAATTAAAATTATTATTAATATTAATATCTATTGATATATACAATAGATTTACTAATATATTATAAAGTATTATAAATTAAGTAATCATTTGGTTATCAAATATGAATATAACAACTAAAATGTGTTAATAAATAATTTTTAATTGAGATCCTCAGCGACGGCTAAATTCCATAAAAAGTTTTCCAGATTTGGATTGAGATTCCGTTGACGAAGCGCTTCCAATGTAACCACAGAACTACTATTGGATCCATTGTGTTGGTTACACGTCTCGTCAATAGTGCCCATAATTTTCAAGTTATTAATGATTTCCAGATTCTTATCACAGATATCTTTGATGACATGAAAATCATTATTATTATTGATGTCCGCCTGTCTGGTCAAGAATACGGCGATTTCTTTGTGTGACTTTGTCATTGCAAACACTTCTTTGCACGAGTGGTTGACAGTGATCTCAACGGCCGCTAARTTGACGTACAGATCGTACAAATCGATGCGGTTCTGGGCCTCAGACTCGATAAAACCTGCGATATAGTGATTATGYAATTGTAGGTCTTGTATCTCATCCGTAGAGCTCAGTTCGACAAACGGATACAATATCTGATAGATGTCCGGTCGGTGCCAAATAAACGCTGGTAACGCCCGAATAAATTGTAATAATGTATCCAATTTATGGTGATATACAGCTACCCGACGCTTGAGTATTAAAGCCGTATAGATGAGTATGACATCCAAACCAAACATTTTGATTATTGACTTAATTGGTGACTTAGAGTGGATCACTTGCGGACAATCATAGTCTTGGACATTGAATTTTTGACAGTKATTCAGATGTTCTTCATTGATGCTAAACGAGTCGTTTATCAAAAGTGTTAAATAATAGGACAATAGTTTCTGAATGTCTCCCGTTTTCTCATAGATTTTCATAAATATTTTGGTCAATACTTCATATTTCTCGGGATTAAAATCTTTTGCAATAATTACAATTGAAAACTGTTTGACATCTGGTAATACMTTTGAAGACAATGGTAATAATTCACTGGTTTGACTATAAATCCATAGATTATTATAGTGATGATAATAGTATCGGTTGGTCACAACTTTTGATAATTTTAAAAATTATAGAAATTAATTAAAATASTCAATCAATCAATTATTGTAATTAATATTTACGTAAATTTGTGTCAAAGTATTGATCATTTAATCGCTTCTCAATATATGCACGCAATGTGTGACCCAATGAAGGATACGTCCACTTCATGGACAGTATGTTATTAAGTTGACTAACAAACACATGAATAGATGACAATTGTTTTATTGCCTGCATTTGGGTTGTCATGCCTTATGGATTCATCAGTTGTACTGATAATACACACGGAAGTGGAGAAACACACCGGTGATGACGGTTCTTGTGGTCAAATAAAATGAATCTATGAGTGCGTCAACCGGTAATTCATAAGTCATTCATTGCTTTTATAATATTAATATTTTTTATAGTAATTGTATGCCTTGTTTGCTGTTTATTCTGGCATTGAATTGAATAATAAAAATATGAATATAATTCCTATTGTTGTTTGCAATACATCAGTGACTATATAATGGTTGATGATATACGTTGAGACCACCAGAGGAAAGTGGTAGCGCTTCTATACCTTCTATACTACAGGTATTATACCGTATACTGTATTACAGTACTACCGGTACATAACTATGTATTCTTGTATTAAATGTTATAAAAATAAACATAAAAACTTGTTTTATGTTTACATTTCATTTTATAATTTTTATATTTTTTTGAAAGCTCATAAATTTTATTAATATTTATTAATATATAGTATTTTTATATTTATTAAAGATAATTCATTAATAATTTTAAATTATTATTWAATATTTGTTATGTATAATAATTTAGTTATTGATGTTTATTATTGTAAGTTATATACCATTGATATAAAAACAATATTGTTTAAATGATTTGTAATATAATCAAAATTACAAATATTTAATTAATTTATATATATATTAAAGATTTATTAAATAATGATATAAAATGTCTTATAAAAACTTGTAATAAAAGTAAACCTAATATATATATTTATATATTGTAAATAATGATTTTCTATAACTATATATACCATTATCTCAGATAAATATTAAAACTACAAATTAATATTTATMATCTAAATTGACAACAWTTTACTAGTATTTTATATAATATATAAGCAAACTAATATAAAAGTTTAGTTATTATATTAACGAATAGCATAAAATTATTTTCATTTTCAAAGATATTATAAATAAAACATATTTTAACTACTCATTAAAAAGCAATGTATATTTTAAATATTGATATAATAACAATAATAATGTCATAGCCTGTAGTAACTCATTGAACACGTATTATATTATATTATTTCAATAGAGAAAAACTTTATTCAAATGAGTAAAATTTCTGTTTCTCTTACTATTAAAACAGTAATTTTGGTCCTAACCTTTAATTTTAGGTAATTTTTAACTTAAAGAGAGAGAGAGAGAGAGAGAGAGAGAGAGAGAGAGAGAGAGAGAGAGAGRGAGATGAGGTTTCACTTGAGTCTACAATTTTGTTTTACTGTTGTTATTGTTGTTATTATTTAGTTTTAATTGCACTGAGAAAATGATAATTGTAAAATAAAAATTTTTGCTAAATGTGAGAATTACTTCCTGATACCAATATACAGTACTTATGATATTAATATCTATTACTTTTATAACATAAAAATAATTGTAGCAAAAAAATAGATTGAAAATTATTATTTATTAATTATATAATATAATTTTAAATTTAATTTATCTAAAGTTTTATATAAAAATCTATTTAATTTACATATTTAGCGCAATTTATTAATTGAATTTTTGAGTGCATATATTTAAAAATATTTTTTAGTAATTATTGTTATATAATAAGTTACTTTTAAAAATAATGTATACCGTATAATATTGTATATTACATTATATACAATTTTTCAGTTCAATAATTATTCAAACGATATTAATTTTTAAAAACCAAATGTCATTTTTACTATAAATAATTTATAATTATTTAAATTTTAAAAATGTAAATTAAATAATATTTATTGTAATAATAAATGTATCTAAATAGTTATTTATTTTAGTAATTTTTTTACTTATTATTAAACTTAAAACATTAATAATTATCCGATTGACAGGAGAGAGAAAGAGAGAGAGAGAGAGAGGGAACAGATTATCTGTATTTTTATTAATAATTAATATAACTATAAAATTTYTTTCAATTTATTATTATTTAAATAAATTCAGATTAATAGATAATACTAAAACCTATACAAATAATACATTATATTTTATTATTACAGATAAGGTTATCTGTGACAATAGCTAATAAATAATTATAAAAAATTTGAATATTATAAATATATATCATTTTTACACTTATTATATAAAGATTCACATGTTTGATACAAAAGGAGATCGTTAATGGGAACACACGTATAGATAATGCTATTATCAATTTAAAAAATTATTTTTAAATCATCAATTTATAAACTAATAATATATTTAAAAGACAATACAATAATTTAAAAAAAATTGTAAAATCTGTTTTAAATTTGTTTAAATGATTTTAAATGTTATAATAATATTATTGAAATCATCAGTAAAATTGGTATAGAATATTAATAAAATGAAATACAACTTTGAATATATTATAATTTATGTACAAAATTAATTAAAAATAATAAAGAAATATATATTTTTAAAAATTATTTTTAATTAAATATATTCAATAGTTGATAATACAAGTAATAAAATTTATTTTTATGATATTTTCTGTATAAATCATATTTGTTATAAAAATTTAAAACTAATATTTTTTATTTAATATCTTTTAATTATAATATTTTATTTCAAAAAAATAAAAGATTATTTTCTGTTTTTAGTTTTTTTGTCAACAATATTGTGTTAATAAATATTTGRAATTTTTAAATATATATATATTTATGTGAATTTCAGACTTACTCTACAAAAGATTGTTTAGAGATCGCAAAATATTTACTAATAAATAAGTTCTCAAAAAATTCTTCCTATTTTTACTGAAAATCTCTCTCTTTCTTTCTCTCTCTCTCTCTCTCTCTCTCTCTCTCTCTCTCTCTCTCTCTCATGTTTTTTCTATTTCAAAAATTGATGATTTAAAGATATAGTCAAAAATAATTTCAAACTACAGACAAAAATATTTATAAAATTTTTTGTTAGTATCCATTAAAATGAATTGAATTCAAGTTTTTTATCTGAATATATACAGCATATGTTGAAAATGTCTCAATACAGTCGTTATATTTCTACCGTTTCATTATTTGTGAGCCAAACRTCAGTATAAATAATATATACTATATATATAGTGTGTCCTCAAAAACATAAGTCTGTATTTTTTGTAATACTTTATGAATTTTAAATTTTATTTTAATTATATATCTTTTGGTCTCAACTTTTGGTATCTTATCTCGATTATCATCTATTGCTTTCTTTCGTTATATAAATTTTAAAAACTAATTTAACTCATATACTCAAACACATTGATTATATTATATTTAAGATTATTCATAGTATATATGAAATTTAATACAATATACTTATTGTTTATTTTTTCAATTTTTTAGTAAAACATATTTTGTTTAAACGTAAAATGACTTCTGGAATATTGAAAAATTTAATCATAAATAGTTAGGTCTTATTAAAAAAATTTAATTAACAAAATAACATGATTTAAAGCATGATTTATATGAATAATTTACTATTTTGATAATTAATTTACTACTTAAAAAAATAATAATTCATTTTTTCACTATTTTGCAAAATAATATTAATTAAAAAGAAAAGTAAATAATTATTTATGAGCTAAATATAAATTTCTTAAGTATATCCCTTGTTTTACATTTCATGGTATATATATATATATATATATATATATATAATATTTATGTAAACTATGATTTATAAATTTTGTTCAATGAAACTAATAGTAAAAAATTATTTGCTTTATACAAAAATTGTTAATTTAGATKTGGTTAAAGTGATTTATTGTTTTAAAATTTGTCAATATGTCATAAATTTTTTGTATTTTATTTAAATATTTGTTTTGATTATTAAGTAATTGTCCACTTTTTTAGTTAGAAATAAACTGAATTTGTTTAAGTTTAGCCATTATTATAATATTTGCCGACTCATGTAAARTGTATTGTAAGGGTTGACTGGATTACTGGCCATTATATTAGCAATTCCTATGTTATGCCTTCTCATAAATTATGATCATTTGTATGCTTACAGAATATACCATAAGTTTTGCAATTAAATTCAGTGCTCGACTTTGCACTGACTGTCCATTAATTTTCACAAAACTTCACATATATATTGTGCGTTATGTTTGAAACAAAAAAAACACAAAGCTTTTTATCAAAATATACTAAATAATTAAAATCTATAGATATGTTAGATTAGTTTGTGAGCAACATTTTGACGATAAATGGCTAAAATATATAAATTATATTTATTATACTACAGTTTTATCAAATATTTAATTCATTTATTTTTATATCAAAAGATATTTGCGGTACGATTTTAGACATATCATATACCGATAAATTTTATAATAATTATAAATTAACAATTAAATTTTGCATTATTAACGTTATTAATATAGCATAAATGTATAKGAATYTAATATATAAGTCCATTTTAAAGCTAACTGTAATATATTATTAATATAAACTCAGTATAAACATCATAATAATATTTAACTATTATTATGTGTATCCACGTCCAGTATATACAGCATATACTAATACTAATAATAATAAAAAATAATATAAAGTTATACATTATTTGGCACTACTGTAGTAAACAATAAATATATATTGCATTTTTGGCACTACTTTTCTTGTGCTTCAAATGTCATTGAATATTACGATATATATATCACGGGAGGTATATTACAGTGCACTGTATGACTATTATATATACTATAATATACTATAAGATATTAGTTATGAGCAGGGTATTAAAATAATAAATGTCTGCCCTGGCAATGCCCAAATAGATGCCATAAACGCCTGGCATTTTGGGCATCTATTTTATTTGCCTGCTATTTTTAATTGTTAAAAAGTAACTGTATTTATATAAATAACGCAATTTAGTGTTTTTACCGTGTTAATTAAATATATAATTAATAGACATTTCCAATTAGATTACCGTATAATTAAATGGATACCAAACAAACAAATATAATGATAAAACAGTGTTTTTAATATAATAATATAAAATTAAAATAATAGGTGTCATCACCTGAAAATAGATGTCCAGAGCATGGCAGAGGCAGAGCAGGCATTTACTAAGTTTGGCATATATTGTTTGTCTGTAATTTTTAAAACTCTG